CGTCTAGACACGTGGTGGCAGCACACGGTCACTTTTCGGTACGCAGGAAGCAAAGGGCTGAGAGCAGCGGCCGCTCCCAGCCAGTTTACATCCCCCGGGGACACCAACTGCCGACTGGGGACGTGAAGACTTTGCAATACCGGGACTGGGCTAAGTTGCTAAGGGAACTTTTATTGGAGATTCTTTCAGGCTTGTTCACTTTTATCCCTCTGGGTTTGCTTAGCAGCAGTTTATAATCACATTCTGCTCTTGTGCTCTTTATTCTCTTTACGCATTTGTATTTATTTGCTTTTTCATTCATGTTTTTTTCAGCTGTCCTTGCTTTTTAGTAACTTTTTTTTTAAGCACCCTATATCTAAAATGAGATAAGAAATAGACAAAAATGGGTTAGAAAAAGAAAAAAATAATGGTTTAAAACACATTACAAATGGTCAGAAATGGAATAGAAATGGCCCCAAATGGATTAAAACAGGTAAGAAGTGGGAAAAAATAGGTTAGAAATGGGCAAAAATGGCTTAAAACGGGTTAGAAGTGGGCAAATACAGGACAGAAACGGCCATAAATTGTTCAGAAACAGCAAAAAAAGATCCTTAAATGGGTTAGAAATGGGAAAGATGGGTTAGAAATAGCCAGAAATGGCAGAAACTGGTAAGAAATGGGTAAAAATGGAATAGAAATGCCCATAAATTGTTTAGAAATAGACCAAAATTGCTTAAAATATATTTGAATTGTGGAAAATGGATTAGAAACACAAAAATATGGCTTAAAACGGGTAAGAAATGGGCTATAATGTGTTTGAAGGGGCAAAAAAATTGTTAGAAATGAAGAAAAATGGTTTAGAAATAGACAAAATGGCTTAAAAAAGGTTAGAATTACACATAAAAGGGTTACAAATGGCTAAAAATGACATCAATCCGGTTAGAAGTGGCCAAAAATAGGTTAGAAATGGTCAAAAATGGATTAAAACTGTTTACAAATAGGCAAAAATGGGTTAAAGAAAGAATAAAGTTGCTTAAACTGAGTTAGAAATGGGCCAAAAAGAGGTGGAAATAAAAAAAATGTCTTTAAACGTGTTACAAGTGGCCACAATTGGGTTAGAAACGGCAAAAAGATTTTAGAAATAGCAAATAAAAGCTTAAAACAGTTTAGAAGTGGGCATAAATGCGTTAGAAATAGCTAAAAAAAAGGGTTAAAATGGGTTAGAATTTGGCAAAAAATGGGTTGAAAATGGCTAAAACCAGTTTAGAAATAAAAAATATATTTAAAAAAACACATTTAAATGGGCTAGAAATGGGAAAATTGTGTTTAAAAAAAAAAAGCCAAAATGGATTAGAAATGGTCAAAAATTGGTTAGAAGTGGCAAAAAATGGCATAAAATGGGTTAGAAGTGGGAAAAAAAGGTTCAAAATGAGTTAGAAATGGCCAAAAAATGGCTTAAACTGGTAAGAAATGGGCACAAACAGGATAGAAATGGCCACAAATGGCTCCTTCGCTCCTTCTTTCCCTCCTTCCTTTTTCCCCTCCCCGTTCCCCATCTGCCGGGGGGTACCTACTGAGCCATCACCAGACATCTGCAGTAAAAGCCCTTGAAGGTCCTTTTCTTTCCCCGCCCCTCCATGGAGCTATGGACAGTGCTACCAAAGACCCTCAGATCCAAGCCCCCTTGTCTACCGAGGACCATTTACAGGCAATGGTAAGGTAAGCCTGAAAGTATCTACTCCATCTTTGTGTGTTCTGGGCATGCTCCTTGGCATACAGATGCCAGTGAGAAAACACTCCAAAACCAAACTCCTTTCACATCTGTTTTGAGAGAGCAGTGAGCACAGTGCGTAAACACAGAGTCCTGACGGGCTGGAAGCAAGGCCAAGGCTCTGAAACAAGGTGCGCAGGAGAGGGGAACAGTTCTGATGGGGTCAAACTATGCCAGGCTTCCAGGCACGCACCCCAGAACTGTTCTTCCTGGTGCTGCAGTGGCTGACCCCAACAGGGACATGTGCACCCTGCCCAGTCAATGTCTGAATCGCACGTCACTTCCCATCTGGTTCCTCTCGGTAAGAACCTTGAACACGGACTTCCTTCTGGCACAGCCCTCACTGTGGTTCACAACAAATACAGTATTTACTGATGGAGGTGATGAGTGAGAGACTTGGCAACGACGGCCTGAAGAGAGGTGAACTGCGGCTGACAGCTTAAATCAATAAAAACCTTCCTTCAGTAAAAAACCACAGCGCGCCGACTACGAATGTTGTCCTGTTGCGCTGGCATGTTTACAAAGATAGATACGTTAAAAGGACATGGATGCTATAAATACATATAAAATACATTTGTTATTACAAATTACATATTGTGCTGTTCTATATTACCCGTTTAATAGATAAATGCACAGTGAATTCTGTACATGCACACACTCATAAATGAAACATAAGAACCCTTGGCCAAAGTTGGGTGGAAGGAAGGGAAGAAAGATAAATTCATTCACGCTGGAATACACGGCTGCAGTCACTCAATGAAGTTGTACTAAAAAGAACCCAAAACCTCAAGGAGGAAGGATATTCAACTTCTCATTGATCTCCTGTTACTCACTTTCTAAACAAAAACTGATCAACCGTGTCAATACCACATTAATTTGCTGCTACTGTGCTACAAAAAAGCTGTGACTGCCCAGTTCTGGAGAAGAAGCACTCCTGGACTTTATGTTGCATTAAGAGTAATGACTGAGAGAGCTGGAGCCCTCCTGGAAGAGGGAACAGTGGGACTTATGGATGCACGTTCAACAGTGCAAGTAGAGTGTGCCTGTGCAAGGCAAGTGGACCACTTGTTATGAAGACTGCTTTTTGTCAGGCAAGATCTTTGCTATCAGATGTAAGAACCATAATAGCAGACACATCAGAAGAAAATACTAAACGTTATGCAACTTCTTTGTCTCTAGAAAATAATGAAATATTATCTAGAAAATAATGAAATATTTTCTAGACTATGATATTTTCTATAGTCCATTATCAAAAAGAACTGCGTTCCTCATCTCAGGGAAATGCTCTGATTTCAGGTGTATTTTGTGGAAAAAAAACCATGAAGGATATGGTCTTTCAGTAGTGACTATAATTCAGGCTAAGTATTAAGAAATGAAAAACAAGTGGAAAGCAGTGTTTTCTAATGCTATGGGGAAAACCAGAGTCACCTTGTGGAAAGCAGTGTTTTCTAATGCTATGGGGAAAACCAGAGTCACCTCGCAGTCATGAAACTTAGAGCAATGACCTGTGCAATACGAGTTTGGCTCATCTCAGTCAGATGTGAATCAAGTAGCTACTCACATTATAAAAATGGTTTTTTTCATAGACTCACAGAATGTTTTGGCTTGGAAGGGATGTTAAAGATCATCTAATTCCAACCCCTTCCCACAGGCAGGGACAATTTCATCCAAGTTCTTCAAACTACCCCAAAACCAGTATCTCACGGCACAGTTAAAACACACAAGTATTAGTAACACATTACAGATCTGCAGTTGTAACTCTGAGAGAGATACTAACTCAGGAGAAATCTGTCAGCAGAAAAACACTGTCAGATGCCTATTAACTGAAATACTGTCCTATATGATGTTTACTGAGTTAAAGCCATAGTGGGATCTATTACAATAGTTCTTTTCCTCTGTATGTCCTTTACAGAGTGTGTAAGCAATTTTCTCAGGACTGGGGTTCCATGGAAGCATCCACTCAGAAGTTAGGATTCATGCAATGGGGAAGCAGTTGTCCCATTGCCCCCGAAGGCTCCACTCCCCATCTCCTGCTCCTTCCTTTATGAATGCCCTTTGGACAGTGGCTTCCTCACATTTTTTCCCCATTAGAAAACTAAATGGGCAAAGAAAGAAGCAGCAAAGAGCTGTTACCAAACACTAGCTTCTGGTTTGCTTCCTGCAGAGCCTCGAGCTTCCTGACAGTGACAAGGGCATAAAGGGTGCCTAATACTTACTTTTAAAAGGCAGAAGATGAGGGGAAAAAAACAAACTGTCTTCACAGTTCTGTTTCATAAAGCACTTAGGTTTTTCAGAGGAAACATCGATATGACATCTTTCCTTCCTGAGCAGCTATTTCCGTGCAGAAGTGCTCTGTTGAGATCAAGGGATTCATTTAACTCTCCCAACTCAGAATTTAAACCAGAGACAAGCAAAGCAAGGCATGCAGCAGGTATCCCAGGGAAGGTGTGCTTACAGCTGCCTGCCTCCCAGACCTCTCAGTCTCCTCTACTGGCACTGGGTAAACATCAGAAATAAAACCCCGAAAGTCCTTTCCAACATAAACCATTCTATAATTCTATGAAATCCCCCCCCCCCCCCGACCAACCTCCCCCACCAACCCTTGCAGACCCAGAATCAGGGGTTTTGGAATATTTTTGGGCCAACACAGCAGCTCCAGCTCCACAAGCACAGCCCATCATGGAAAGGTCATTTGGGGGAATCAGCCCCAAATCAAGCTGTTACCCTCCTTTGTTTGGAGTGCCCCCATCCTCTATTAACCTGATCCCCTGCCAAAACATCGGCCCCCACAGTGACACTGGGGTGCCCCAAATGACACCAACCATCACCAGACTCCCCCACATCACCCTTTTTATTCCACCACCCAAAAAACACCTGCAAAAAATGAAAAAAAAACAAATGCCCCAAGGAGCAGCTCGTTACTTCATTACTTTCATAACTGCCGTTTACACAGGTACATGCACCCCTAAGAAAAGGGGGGGCTCTGCTTGAAAGAGACAATGGGGACAGGACCCCCAGCCCCTGTCTCACAGGCGATGGAGGACGGTGCCATGGCTCTTGTTCAGGCTCTGCTCTGCGATGTTCCCCATCCATTCCATTGCTGGGATGGGCACCTCAGTGCACAATGTCCCCAGTCCCTGTGGGCTGGGGGGTATCTGTTGAGCATCACAAAATGCCTGCAACAAGTCACCTGAAAAACAGAAATCCCAAATGATGTTTCAGCATGTTAAAAAAGGAAAAAGCACAGAAGAACATACACAAATACAATCAAAGGGAGATGATATAACAATTGGTGAGGGTAGAGATCCCCACATGGTTTTACTTGGCAGGAGGAGTGGGAAGGAAGGAGATCAAATCTCCAGCGCTGCAATCCATCAGGCTGCCAAAAAGGACTGGCAGATTTGCCGATGCTTTTGGCTGTCCCAAAGCACGCAGAGAGGAGCAGGTTTTTAAGCTGTCTCAACTGTTAAAACTGAAAAGCACAAAATCAGTGACGCCATCAACTTCTGGGAGTTGCGCTGTGCTTGTGTCTTTGGAAGGAAATGGACTTTCTTTCTTTGTAGAAGGTGAAAGTCCTCTTGCTGATGAGTTTACTACCTACAACAGCAAGAAGGGATGCGAGGTACAGCAGAACGGATGTGAGGTAGAGCAGAAGGGATCTGAAGATCCCCTCTGATGGAGAGTTTTACAAATGCAATTTCTTTGAGGAAGTTTTCTCTTCCAGAAACCTCTTTCCAACGGAAGTAAAAATTCACACATCGCAGGGTAAGGGAAAAAGACACCACTGAAGCAACAACTCACCAAAAACACACCCAGAGTCACCGTCCCTGCTTACAAGGCTGCCAATGCCTCTCCAGAAAGCCTGGAAAACACACAGAAGCAATACCAATTTATCCCCTTGGGTGCATGGCTCCTCTGCAACCTGTGTTGCTTCTAGTACAGACACTAGTGCCTTAGAGCAAGGTTCGCAAGTACTACTGCAAGCTCTTTTAAAAACGTATGTACTGAGAAAGCAGAAAACTTTGATTGTAGATGACGCCAACTGCTTTGTCCCTATCCTGTAGCTCCAGCAAATTGGTCAGGCAGGATTTTCCCTTAGTGAAGCCGTGTTCGCTGTCACCAACCACCTTGTTGTTTTTAATGTGCCTTAGCATGCTTTCCAGGAGAATCTGCTCCATAATCCTGCAAGGCACAGAGGTGAGACTGACTGCTCTGTACTTTCCGAATGAGAGAAACAATGTGCCAGCAGCTGGAGTCCAGCACAGACCATAAGGACCAGCTGGTACCCACAGCAGGAGCAAGCAAGGGGTGTCTGCCAGTGTGTGGTCACTAGCCAATGCACAGCCCGCTCAGCCCAAGCCTAGCTCGAGTGGGTTGTGAGCCTGGCACTTGTGTGTGAACAGCGAGCACTGAAGGAGCTGTCACAGACCAGGACACTTGTTTGCACAGGTCTGTGTCTCTGTGTGGGGAGAAGGCAGGGAGAGCAAGACTCCAGTGCCAGGTACTGGGTGGACAGACCGCACTGCTGCCTGAAGGATCCACAGTAAGAGGCGAGTATCAGTATCCAGAGTGGGACTGTGAGCCTCAGGCTTGTGTGCCCAGGTGCCAGCAGCTGGGGACACCTGGGGACCAGCTACTGGCTAAACTGTGTCCCAGGCCAGCAGCCAGTGACTTGACATCATGTGTGCGAAGCACAGGGTGCTGGCCACCCAAGCTATGAGACAGACTGAGTGTCTAAGCCCAGCTGCTGGAGGGACTCACCATCTATATATGCTAACAGGCCTTCATCCTGATCAGCCATAAATGGGAACAGGATGAGGCCACAAGTGCTATTTGTATTTTTATGAGCGCTGAATGTTGTGGCTTGCCAAATGTTCCCCAGCCCCATCACTAGCTAGACCCAGAGGCATGGAGTTGCAGCAGCTTGCATGATGGATTTTGCTTGCTGCTTCTATTAACCCTCTTGTATTTCACATGCAAATTCTTAAACCATGAGTGGCATGTAAAGCCTTTCCACCAAAGCACTGCATTAACCACTAGCTTTCTTCTCCTGCAGGCATTCAGCCCACCAGTTCTGGGCAGACAGACCTCATTCTTTTACATGACTACCTTTTAGTAGGTAATGTGAATTTTCAGCCTGCTCCCACCATAACCACCTTAACGCTACGGTGATGCAGGGGTTAAATGTGACTCAGAATATTAGTGTCTGCACGTTGCTGGCTCCACGCAGAACACAGCTGACCTGCTTACAAGAACCAGGGTTTTCTTAGTACTCTAACTTAGCCCTACAAAGAATCTTTTCCTCTTCTTTCATCTGCCTTTAGTTCCCACAGGCCTCCATTATGAAGGTTTCAATCAAATGCTGTTGACATATACTTGAATTCAAATATTTGTGCTATTCATAGTGAAACGCTCATTCAGCTAACTGCTTGGCTGTGTCAGGGTTCTTTTGATCAAACTGAATAAAAGACATTGCCAGGTATTCTGCATAGCCCCAGGTCATACAAAGGAATTCACCAGCACAGGACCACATGCATCATGCAGTGTACATCCTGCCCAGGGTCCCAGCAGACAGAAGGAAAGTTTCTGCCAGGGCAGGTCTTTGTCTGACTTTAGAAGCCTTTAAGGGCACTGTTTAAGTGGAAGGCACAGAGAGGTAGGTAAGTGTATCCAAGTAAGATGGTTCTTGTGATCCAGAGTGTAAGTGCAGGCTGCACACAGACACATTACTCTTTCACTGTGAATGTTTGACTTTTGTCCTCTTTTCTGAGGACTGCAGTTAAATTTGGTGTTATGTTTAATCTCATTACCCTCCTCAGTGATATCTCAGTGACAGGAACCCCACTGTCCTTCTGAGACTCTTTGCTATGCCTGAGCAATGCATTATGCTAGAGCCTGCTGATATTACACTTTGGCTGCTTTTATAGAATCATAGAACAGTTAGGGTTGGAAAGGACCTAAAGATCATCAAGTGCCAACCCCCCTGCCATGGGCAGGGACACCTCACACTAAAACACGTCACCCACAGTAATGCAGAAAGAGATTCTGCTTGCTCGCCTTTCCGCCCCATGGTTGCACATGTCTCTTGATTCTTGTGCTGTTACTCCAGTATCCACGCTTCTGGCTTCTTCAGCCACCCCTCTTACATGCCACTTTCCCCAGTGTAAAAGTCACCTTTTGGTGCAAAGCCTTTTTGCTGTGTACGGTTCCCTTCCAGCTCTGAAAGTCACATTACAACAAAAGAGGGCACTCTGGCACTGTGGTCGCACCTGCATGGGCGATGTTAGTACAACAAATGGTTTGAAGAGCTCTGATCAATAACTGTTCATCAGTGGGTAGTTAATTCTCTGGTTTAGCAACTGTCTGCCTATGTTAAGAAGCCTTCTTGATAAATGGATGGCAAAGACATGCTCCTCAGGGGAGTGTCCTTCTGTCAAGTTGCTTTAAACTGTCTACCACTCAAGCAGAAATTAGCATTAGTGGCTAGGACACATTCAGCCTGTCTCATCCTTCTCTGCTGCTTCTTCTGCTTCCTCCTGCCCAGCAGTGCCAGCAGATGGATGGGGAGGACAGCGCAATGAATTCCAACATGGAACTTACAACTAACCTGTCAATTAGTGTGGAGTGCCGCTTTTAACCTAACTGATTGCCTGGCCCCACAGCCAGTGTAATGCCACAAAGATGGGAGCACACAGCAGCTGTCAAGCAGTGTGCCACTGCTGCCAAGCATGGCATGGCAGCACGGCGAAGCACTCTTCAAGCACTGCCTGTGCTCCTCCCTCAAAGTGTGTGTGCTGTGGACCTCCAACGACACATCCAGGCTGACCCTTGCTGTACTTTCATCTCTCCTGGGCAACACCAGAGCTTTGCTTGAGACTCCCGTGGCCCAGCCCACTGCCAGAGAGCTCTGCTGGCCTTTTACACTACATACACCTTTTCCTCCTTTCTCTCCTTATGTCTGCCCCATATCTCCAGATTCTGCTGTTACTTTTTATTCCATTCTCACTGAGGAATGATAATGTGTTTGAACTCACTTAGTTCATCCTTGTGCTTTTTTCACTGTGATTCTTGCTATTCATACTTAGTGCTTCCTTTGATCTTCCTAAGCCTGCTGCCTGAGCACAGGTACCCATCGGAGATCACATCCGTGTGCCCTACTTCAGACTGTGGCAAATCAGGTTTGGGATCAACATTCAGACTAAGCTCAGTTTTTCACTGAGCCACTATCAACAGCCACTCAGTTTTACCCCTGGGTTCACCACATACAACTTGCTCTTTTGGGGATCAGGCTCCCTACCTGCTCTTCACAGCTGATACTCCCCAGAATAAAGGGAGCAGAAGCTGAGCTCTTTAGGTGACTTCTAGGATGATGGTATCCTGTAGCAAGGGATACATCTTGGAGAGAGAACTCCTGTTCTCTCGTCTCTGTTTCTGGTATTATATAATTTTATTAAATAAACATACAAGCATAAAATACAGGGACAGTTCTTGGGATAGAGACCAAACGCACCTCTGGCTCCAAGCCTGAGGGTCTTGCCTGTTCTCTCTGACTCTTTTTCTGCATAATGCCATGTTTCAGAGGGAAAGTGGGTAACAAAAACCATTCCTTCGATTTTCTCCTAGAAAGACATGGTGTAATGATTTGAAAGCACATACTTCCTGGAAATGAAGACAGAATTCGACTGGCTATCTCACTTCTTCAGCATATGCTTCAGTCACTGGACTAATATGGACCTGGAGGAAAATGCTGTTGGATATTAGGAGAAGCTCAGGTTTGATGGTGTACATTACACTTAGAAAACTCCCTGGACCAGGGTCTCCATGTGTCATAGGAAAACACGGATGATCTGGATAATGCTTGGAATTGAGCTAGCCCTTCCTAAGGCACCCACACTGTTCTTATTCTAGCTGACCTAGAACAGAATCCCGACTTTATGATAACGTTCTCACGGCAGAGTAAGACAAACCCGGAGCACTGGCTTAACTTTCAGACCCCAGTCACTCACACTGCATAAGTTTTGGGCCCTGCTAAGAAGCCTCTCGGGCTTTGGTGCACCACAAAGCAATAGCATACTCTGAGATTCATAAGCACAGACAGAACAGATAAGACTGTATCAGAACTGGTTCCCTGGACTCTTTGCAGCCTTCTTCTCCAGAAGATGTGCCTCAAGCCACATTATACACCCTAACCCCACACTGCGCAGCAGGCGATGCACACTCTTCAAGCTTACAGTGCCTTCTGTGTCTCAGGCACTCCAAACTGGAAAAGCACACATGCAGAAAAAACCAGAATCAACCCCCTATGTCTTCTGTCTCTTAAGACCAGATACTGCTCACATTAAAACCAGCGGAAATGCAGATTTTGGAGCAAGATAATGGGGACATATGTGGTCTGTGCTGCATGGACACATGGCAGAAAGCAGTGCCTGGCACTTTCATTTGGAGTACAGATGTAGCCGATGCAACATCTGAACCAAAAGGCCAAATAAGCTGGTCCCAAAGTGCTGCAAAGGTGGCAGCAGAAGGGATTTTTGTTTCATGAAACTGCAGGAGTGACATCTGTCCCTTCTCTTCTGCCACCGGCAGCCACCCCAGCCGAGCTCTGACTCCACACAAGGTGAGATCTGAACAGCATACTCTCTAGGGAAAAGTAACATGGGAAAGCTAACCTGCGCACTTTGTATGGTTTAAATAATGTAATAACACAGTCACATCATAATTGTGTAATGCATTGTACAAATATATAATATGCCCCAAATATATCAAATATTCATAAAAAACTTAATATGTAATGCATTATAATAAAGTTATAATTTATGGTATTTGTAAAACACTGTCATGTCATGTAACCGTATTTAATGCTTGCATTGAAAACACGGTGATTTCTTTATAATTATGTAAGGAAAATGTCCCTATGGAGGTGGGTAAACAGCGGAACAGGAGCCCGGAAAAGTTGTGGGATCTCTGCCCTTGGAGACGCTCAAAATGTAAAGGCCCTGGACAAAGCTGTGAGCAAGCTGATGTG